AGTCTGAATCCTGAGACCTTCCATAGGATGTCTGAATCCTGAGACATTTCATGGAAAGTCTGAATCCTGAGACCTTCCATAGGATGTCTGAATCCTGAGACATTTCATGGAAAGTCTGAATCCTGAGACCTTCTATAGGATGTCTGAATCCTGAGACCTTTCATTGGATGTCTGAATCCTGAGACCTTCTATAGGATGTCTGAATCCTGAGACCTTTCATTGGATGTCTGAATCCTGAGACCTTCTATAGGATGTCTGAATCCTGAGACCTTTCATTGGATGTCTGAATCCTGAGACCTTTCATTGGATGTCTGAATCCTTAGACATTTTATGTCTAATAATAGAAATTTGCATAATTCTTTGTTTTAGAAAGATAAACTAATCCCTGTCATAATGAAATGTTTATTTTAATGGTCTTGATAAAGGGCACAAATACACTTTTTTACTCTGCATTTTATGAAAGTACCTACAAATGGGAAGTTTTTGTGGGAAGTTTATTTTTGCACATGAAGAGTTAGCAAAAACAAGATGCAGACTAGATGGGCCGAATGGTTCTTATCTGCCGTCACATTCTATGTTTCTAGATATTGACTATAGGTACCTGTATAGAGCTTTGACTGTTCATATACAACAATTTCATTGCATGGTCATACCATGCACACTGTTATATATATATATATATATATATATTACATTGTAATGTTGTAATCTTGTGTAATGTCATTAGTTACTTGATTCTTGAGGGCTCAGTTTGTTGCAGACTAGCATACAGTGAGGAAATAAAAAAGATGGGAAATTAAAAAGTGCCCAAATGGGGTGCAGACAAAAATGAGATGTGCACCTTATGTGTAGAATAGTAAAGCAATGAGACCCACAGAAGAGGTGCAGCTGAAAAAGTGATGAGACGTAGCACTGGGGTGCAGCTGAAGAATATTATGAGATGCACATATGAGATACAACCAAAGACAATGAAGAAATGTTCAAAGAAAATTAAACATGCAAAGAGAGTGAGAAAAACAAGCTCCAAACAGCTGGTCAACAAACATACCACCACCAGACCTGTGAAGAATCCTCAAGAGGGGAAGTTATGGCTTGAACATCTGGAGTGCCGAAGGTTGCTTATTTGTGTTCTAGAGACAACCTGAACCCATATACATTCTTATACCTTTTTTTGTTCTCTGTCCATTCCACCATGTGCTTCATACCTCCCTTAATCAGTTCATATTACAGTAAAATAAATAAAAAAATGTTAGTTAAATAAATTTCAATTAATGTTTTTAAGATTTTATTTAAGGTATAATTAAGCTAGGACAATTTCCTTTTTGCAATTTCAGTGAATAGTGGTGTGCCTATTTTAAAAAACTGTTTTATAGCATGATAAATAATAAATAATAAATAAAATAAACCCTTTTGAGATCCCATGATGTTCCACATGGTCATGCAGCTCAGGCTGGGGTGTCACCTTCATCTATTTGTGGAAACATAAGATTAATGATGGTCCTTGGATACATTTTGAACAGGATGGGAAAAGTTTCAGGAACAGGCTTGTCAAGAAAAAAATGACTTGAAAATGTATACTCGCCTGGTTGCTCGCCTGTTGCCTTTGGATTATGGCCCCATGTTAAAAGGCTTGATTTTCCCGTGCAAAGACAAGAAAGCCGGGTCATTTGGTGCTTGCCCTGTTTGAGCAGTGATACCCCAGATAGCTATGCCATGGAGCCCATTTGTATAATGAAAGACTATGGGAAAGACTTTGGCTCCATGGCAATTGAACTGTATGTGTGTGCTCTGAGCGCCATTCAGTAATAATGTGCGCTCAGACCTAAGCTATCTGGGCATATGTTGCATGTCTGTATTTTATGTCATAAATGTAACCTTGTGTATTTTATTGTATTTTACTGTCTTTTTGCTGCCATGTGTTCAATGGAGTTTTGCCTCTGTCTTTGGAGATAATTGGATTACTTCACAATTATCTCCAGGATAGAAGACTCTGTGGAACTGGTTTTGGGCAGAAAAGCCATGCTTCCTGTGGTCACAAAGGACTACGATCTATCTTTTGAACCACTGGACCAATTTGTATGATTTTGACGTATGTTTGTATTTGGAGTATGCTGATTCTGAAAATGTAAGTTTATGTGAATGTGATGCATACTTTTCAAGCTATGAATAATGTGGAAAAAATTTATTTCTCTGCTTGTGCTAAATTACATTGCCCATTGTGTAAGGTAATTGAATCACAAGCAGAGGGGAGGAATTTGTGTGGGAGTGTCTGAGTGTATTGTATGTGTTTATTGGTTGTGTTCCAAAACCCTGTGACTGTTCACTGCTTGACCCTCAACACGGAGCTTTGTCTAGTTCTTGGGGGGATTTATTGTATGCTGTTCCAGTTTGACTGCTAGAAGTGTAAACCTATTCGTTTGGTTTTTCCTATTCGGCTGTTTACGGCATTCATATGGTTTCCTGTTCGGCGGATTGGTGTTCTGCAGTAGCTGTGCCTGCATCTCTAGAAGGGAAGCTCTACTAAACGGCGGTTTAACCCCTTGTGTGCTGAAACGGTCCGTTACAAACTTGTTATCGGGAAGAGGACCTGTGGAACAGACACTGGATGACAGAGATTCCGTGTTTAATACTTAGTCAACTGGTAAGCGGGAAGGACGAGTGGTGGAGTAGCAACATGTATTATTGATTATAACAGCTGATTTCTTAGTCTTGTAATTATGTCACAAGCTACTGATCTGACCTTTTCTTTTACTTTTACAATAATGTGAACCAGAATTGCTTTAAAGTCTTGTAAAGAAACCATCACGTCTAAGCCAACTTGATTAAAATTACATTTATGCGGAATTTAGTTATGAAAAGACCAAAGTTGCACTTGTCAGGGTTCTTTTTTAATAAGTCATTTTTAAGCTTATCTGTGTTGGTGTTGCTTTTATCATTTTCTTACAATGAGACAACCACTAGGATTGTGCCTCCAATTCGATACACTGACATCACAATTCCTAAAATAATGCCACAAAACACATATATGACTCAATGATGTCCAGGCACAGGAGTTATTAAAAATTTTATGTTTTTTTTGGCTATTTTGGCTAAAATGTTTCAAATTAATTTAATTATAAATTACTCTTTATTGTATAAACTACTCAAAAACTAGGTCAAAACATTATGCAGTTGCGTCTGTAGACTGCGTGAATATTTTGGTCTAAAGTGAAAAATTCAGACTAGCAAGGCTGTGACTAAAGCTCAGACGAAGACTCTCGGAGAGGTTGAAATGCAACTGGGCCTGATTTGTGATGTTTGAATAAAATGCTACATATTGTATTTAGATCAATGGTTTATGTTCTTTATTATTTTAGCAGACAGAATGGCTCTTTTGTGTCCATCCACTAAAATAGAATTATTAGCTATTTGTGGCTTAATAATAGAAATTCTCTTTAAATGTTCTCTGTATTTACTCGAATCTACACTTTAATGAATAACTCTGATAACTTACAGTTCATCGAAAAACAGTCGTTTGCCTATGAATTCTGTACAGAAAGAAGTGCCTGAAAATTAAACAAGTTAAACTGTTAAACTGCTTGTTATTCACAGATGGATTCAATTAGAATGCTTATATAATATCATGTAAACAGCTATATAGGATGTTATGTAAGGATGCTAATTTAAATCCTGATTTATCCAGTGCTTCTCCTGATGGAATCCAGAAAATTGCTCCTCTTCTTATTAAGCATAGTAGGGTCAACATATTTTTTTTTATTATAAAATATGTTATTAGCCTGGTTTATTTTAGGAAAGTCTAAAACATTGTAAAAGGTTTCTGTTTTTTTGCACTCTATCAAGAAAAGCTCAACAGATTGAGCATTAATTTGCTCTAAATGTTGTTTAACATCTTTTAATGATGATACATTGAGATATAAGTTGGCCAAACTTACTCAGTGATGTGTTTAATTCCTTTTGCAAAACACAATAAGGGTGGACTTCAATTTGTTTGCAGATATTTCGAGATACATATATCTAAACTCCAGAAAATGGTCACGATATCAATGCATGTGTTACTGAGGCCTTTATGACACTTTTGCTAAGAGTGTGTTCTTCCTAAATCTAATAGACAACTATAGATATGTGTCTTATTTTGATATGTAGCCCTCTTTCCACATGCCAGGGTCTTCATGTATAGGGCTTGAATACTTGCATTGGAGCTCTTCTTGATGCCAACAAATCCTTTACCTCAACTATAACTTTGATCATCAGGTTGAGAGGAGTCAGTATCTGTGTCTCTGTCTGGCAGTGTGTACCTGTGCTTGTATCTGTGAGCGTGTGTCTTTATGTGAGAATGGAAAGCTAGAGTTGTCTACGCCAGATTGACAGACTTTCTCGAATCCAACTCTCTGCTTGACCCCTTTCAGTCTGGATTCCGCGCTGGTCACTCTGTCGAAACTGCTGTGACCAAAGTATCCAACGATTTAATTGCTGCTAGATCTCGCTGCCAATACTCTATCCTAATCCTCCTTGATCTTTCTGCCGCCTTTAACACTGTTGATCATCAACATCTTCTTCACATTCTCCGTAACTTTGGTCTACGGGTGTCACGGTTCTCAACAGATCTGGAAACGTTTGAAAGGGCTTTGAAAGCCGTGAACTCTGCTCCTGGTGACTCACCTAAGAAAAAAATTTCAGAGAAAATGACTCCTGGGATCAAGGTACTTACCGCCTCCACCAAATCCATGAATAACCTTGACCTCTTTCCATTAGTACCCGAAACTGGTACCATAAAGTCCTGTGACTTTGATTACAAAGACTATCTTAGTGATCCTGAGACCGAAGATGAGGAGGGCGTTCTTGAAGGGAGGGTACTCACCGCGACATCCCGACGAGGTTGCCCCAGAAGTGCCTGGTGATGGACTTGAACCAGGGTACTTTGCAGTTCTGGGGCTGCTATTTTGCCTCTGAGCCACCATATCAGCTCAAGAGATAGCCAGAAGTCTACCTTGCCTTGTACCCAGCACTGGGGGCTGGACGTTATTCTGTGGCTGCTCCAACGATCTCAGCACACCTGTGGCTGATCACCAATTAGCCAGGTATAAGACACTGCCTCTCCCTGAGGGCAGTGTCAGTTCATTGACTCTGGTTCCCTTGTTTGGTTCCTGTCTTGCTATATCTGCGTTCCAGTATTTCCTGTCTGATTCCGGCTTCTGACCTTGGCTTTCCTCCTGGACTACTCTGATCTCTGGATTCCCCTGACTTTGGCTTTCCTTGACTACGCTTCTGCTAATCCCTGCTGTACTGCTACTTGGAGAACTATTCCTGGAAAGCCCCCATGCACAGACTCACAGATCAGGTGGCGTCTTACCTCGTCACCCTGGTCTGTGTCTACTTTGCAAGGGTGAGCATATAACTCTGCGAGCTGGACTCCCCATCAGGTAAGATCCTGACAACGGGATACTGATCCGTCCTGGTGCTCCTCCTACCTCTCCCAGCGCTCTTTCAGTGTTTCTTTCTCTGGCTCTGCCTCTTCTCCCCAACCCCTCTCTGTCGGCGTCCCCCAAGGTTCTGTCCTCGGCCCCTTACTGTTCTCTATCTATATAGCCTCCCTTGGTAAACTCATCAGCTCCTTTGGCTTCCAATACCATTTATATGCAGATGACAAGCAAATCTACCTGTCTCTGATCTCTCTTCGCCCACCTTGACTCGTGTTTCTGACTGCCTCTCTGCTATTTCCAACTGGATGGCTGCTCACTTCCTTAAACTCAACCTGTCCAAAACAGAACTTCTAGTTTTTCCTCCCTCAAGTGCTGCTACTCCTGTGTCTGTCTCCATCCAAGTCAACGGCACTACTTTCACCTCTACCTCCCAGGCTCGCTGCCTAGGGGTTCTTAATGATTCTGATCTCTCTTTTACTCCCCATGTCCAATCGATAGCCATATCCTGTCGCTTCCAACTCAAGAACATATCTAACGCCGGACGTGGCTAAGGTACTGGTTCATGCTGTTGTTCTCTCTCGCCTTGACTATTGCAATCCCCTTCTCACCGGCCTTACATGTTCCCAGCTTGCACCGCTGCAATCTATAATGAATGCGGCTGCAAGGCTTATTTTCCTGTCTGGTCGCACCTCCCACGCCTCCACGCTCTGTCAGTCCCTGCATTGGCTTCCAGTTAGATTTAGGGCCCAATTCAAAATTCTGGTGCTTGCTTACAAATCCCTACATAATGCTGCTCCAACATACCTATCCTCCCTCATACACAAGTATGTCCCGTCGAGACTCCTGCGCTCAGCCCAAGACCTACGCCTATCCTCTGCCCGGACCCCCACCTCTGATGCTCGCCTTCTCCAGGGCTGCACCTATTCTGTGGAACTCCCTTCCCTCCTCAATCAGGCTTTCACCCAGCCTCCACTCCTTCAAAAAATGTTTGAAAACTCACGTCTTCATTAAAGCGTATCAATTAAACTGTCAGCAGGTTTCTCATCCCCCACCCCATGACTCCATTCCTGCACCTGTCAAAAATGACCTACCAAGCACTCAATAAACCCTTCTGTAACAAACTATTTAATTCCCCTACTTTAACCCTTTGTGTCACTATACCCCACTCCCTCTAGCATGTAAGCTCATCGAGCAGGGTCCTCAACCCCCTCTGTTCCTGTATATCAGTGGTCTGATCTCAATTATGTGTCTGTTAGTCCACCCATTGTACAGCGCTACGGAATTTGTTGGCGCTATATAAATAATAAAATAATAATAATAATGTGTCTTTGTGTCTGGGAATGTGTATTGGTGTATGTGTGTGTCTGAGAATTACCTTGTCATTGTGAGTATGTATTTGTATGTGTGGATGTGTATATATGTGTGCACATACCGGGGGGAGTGTGTGACTTTGGGGAGTAGGGAGTCCAGGTTTTTTTTTTTAAAGGGCACAAAATTCTAATGTCAACACTGCTCTGCATTAATAAAATTGTCATTTGGTGATGCTGCTGCCATCAAGATGATGAAACAGAAATTAGGACTGGGCACTTGTATGAGGTCCAAAGAAGCATTATTGGACAAGGTGTAGAACTGTTTCAGCACAGAGTGAAAAAGGCTTTTTTATGAACCAAAACAGGTAACCTTGTCTCATAAAGCTGTCTTGGCCCCAGTGGCGTACTAAGGGGGGGGCGGGGGGGGCGGTCCGCCCCGGGTGCCAGCCGGGTGGGGGGTGCCATGGCCAGCCCCCCCCCCCATGCTGCAGCCGCCCGAGCGCTCTGTATTGAGCCTCAGGCGGCTGCAGCATTGCCCGGGCGGTGCGTCCATGAGGGCGGACCGCACCGCCCGGGCGCAGCCTGAGGAGAGGGGCTGACAGGAGGGAGCGCCTCCTGTCAGCTCCCTCACTGTAGCGTGGCCGAGCCCTGCAGCATGGTCCGACGGGTACAGAGAGCAGCTGTCTCCTGTACCCGGCCGGACTAACAGGAAGTGCACACTGAGTGGGCACTTCCTGTTAGTCCGGCCGGGTAGAGGAAACAAAAGCTCCCTGTACCCGCCGGCTATACTGGGATCGGCCACGCTACAGGGAGGTAGGGGGGGGGTGAGAGAGGGGTGAGAAAGAGAAATAAGGGGGGGGGTGAGAAAGAGAAATAAGG